TCAAATTACATGCAACTTATTCTATACTATTCCCACAAAATGAACAATTTTTTTAAACCATCTTCTGAATACTTATATTCCAAAATATAAAGATTGTTGCAACATTAAAAAAATCTCGCCTTAAAAAACATAATTCAAAAAATTCCAAACACATCATAACTTTTGCTGGGATAACGAAAAATGATAATTTTTTCCTTCGGGTACTTGAAATCTCACCAACGACTCCCGAAGCCCCTAGACGAATCAGAAGAGCCCCTGGGTTTAATTAAATCAGTCGAGCTAAGCATCCCCCAGCGATTAAAATTACAATGTCCATTGCATACACGCGTCAAGTGAGACCATAATTATCTCGTCATACATAGAAGGGGTTGACAACGGGGTGTCGAGATGTTTGTTCATCCCCCATGGGATCACCGGTCATCAATACCCCATACCAAGGGAATAATCATAATAAAGTAATTCCAATGTTAAAATCGGTGATTTGAACGTCAGCGAGAGCGGACGGATATTTTAATGGGAAATAAAATTTTCTCGAAATGCTTTCTGCCGTCGATTCAGATTTTTTTGAATCGATGAGCATTAGTTTTATGGGGCGGAGTGTGCAGTCATGCCTTTTTGGTAATTTAATATGGTATGGGCCATCCGATCCCCCCAGGATGAGTATTCATTACTCGGTGTTAACAGTTGGTACAGCTATTTACGGATTGTAACTTGCATTTGTGACTTGAAGGGATGATCAGCCTAGCAGGACTAATGCACCGCACGACCAAATGTTCCAAGTAGATTTAAATACCGGGGGTGTTCAGAGTTGGGGGTTGTCAACACCTCTGTGACTTCCACCCATACGGAAAAATATACATTCTCACAATTACACTCAAGAGTACATGGGTTTAGATAATAAATAAATTACAGAGAAATATTCAGTAAAAATTACGGAAATTTCAGATCGTATCTTACCGATTATGAAATCAACTGGAGGTAGTTGAGCGCCAAAATCATGAGAATTCAAAAAATGCCAAAGATTCAAAAAATCGCGGCAATCTAAAAATTCCTGGACAAATCGGACCTAGTGGTGGGGAGGCGTAAAATTTTTGAAAATTCAAGGAATTTCAAACGGGAATCAATCTCGGGGATAAGATCCGTCAGGTGAAATCATCTCGTCACCATGATGTCATCCGTAAATCTCGAAAATTTCGAATTGCTAACAATTTTACAGTGAAAAAAATGGGAATGTAAATTCAAGTGATTACAAAATTTCCATTGGAAAGGAAAAGTGTTGACATCACGTGATCCTGACGAATGGTGATGACAGTCTCGAGTTGAAACCCCAGTGATAAACCATTCGCATTTTAAAAAGGGAAGCACGAGCCACTGCTTGGGACGATTAATTACAATTAAACTCGAGTCTGGATTAAACTTATGCGAGCAACACCAACCCCCTAGTTTTTACTCCACTAAAACATCGTTGATCTATGCCCCCCAGGATGACAGAATTTTTTTTCCCAACACTGGGGAACGCTTTTGTCAGTGGTTACCGAACCTTGACGTTACACTCTTCAATTTTCATCTTTATATCTTCTCTTTTATCGCTGTGTCACAAGTCTCTATTCATTTTTCATTGAGTTCAACTCACGATTCATGAGATGAATATTTTTCATACGGACTCAGAAAATTTGTATTATAATTTAGTGAACCAAAAAAATGGCTTTAAACGAAAAAATTACATCGATGAATAATCGAAGACACGTATTGGATTGAATAAATTTATTTGAAACTAGTAATTGATATTTTGGAGTTCAATCGTAATTTTGAGTTTTTCGTAAGAATTCAAATTTGATGTTGGTATTCATTAAAATATAAAATCAAAGATGGCTGACTAATTTTTTCTACTTGAGGACGATAAAAATACTTTTTTCATTTCTCAATTATTAATAGTCACAGAAAATTGAGATAATAGAACTAAATAATTCATCTTTTAGTTTGTATTTTCAATAACTATTTAATTAAGAATCCATTTAATTGTTTTTACTACATATTTGTTAAGAGACGACTAATTAATTAACAATTTCAAAAAATATCTCAAGATAGGGTATTATAAATAAGAAAAATATATATGATAACAAAAAAGAATAAAAACTTGAACAATTACATGAATTGTACCACAAATTTTTAAAAAAGATTTCTTTCCATGTTCCTCTCCTCCGAGAATATTTTCCGGCTTTCTCATGGAAAATATTGTTACATATTGTTATGCAGAAGTGATGAAAATGAAAGTAGAGAATCGACCATTTGTCAATTGTTTGTACATCCCGATGGCAAATATTCCGGAGGGAGACGGGGTGATTGGGCAAGGAAAAGTGGCCGAGGGATTTATTTACTGACCGAGGAAATAAAGGGGGCGAAAAGCCAAAACTACCCTCGTACCATTGTTGGACAAGAATGAATCGCCTGGTGAGTGGTCGCTTAATTTTTCGGTGAATGTCCATTTGGGTGGCTTTTATCTTGTCATTTTTCTCGAGCGAGAGATATCTCTGTGGAGAAGTCCAAAGATGTCGTATACCCGGGAAAAAATAAATGAACCCCCCTTCCCCTCTTCCCCTCAGCCCCATAACCTGATATTCTGGGGAGGAAAATGATTTTCCAAAATCGAATTTTCCCATGAATCAATAATACCTTCCAGATATTTTCGTCCAGTAAATCGTGTATGAAACGAAAAATTCAAATTTTCCCGCCAGCCCCAGGGACTCATTTATGATTTTTGGTAGACCAAGGGCGGAAAATAATGTTTTCCCACCTGAGGTGCACATGCTATTTATCAACATGCCTGCAAAGGAAACATCGCCTTTTCCTGTCTGAACCGCGGGAGAAAAATGAATACTTTCCGCCCAAGGGTGGAAAGCTGCACCCAAGTGCGGAAAATCTTGATTTTCCGACCTCATTGGCACCTTTCTCCCCGTGAGTGGAAAGTCTTGACTTTCGAATCTTCATAGTACTTTTCTACCCTAGGGCGGGAAATAGCCACTTTTCGTGCGGGTGCGTTGAAAAATGACTTTTCTCCAAAATCAAATGTTTACATCAACCGATGGTCGATTCCACATATTGGCCCCTCCCGGGTACCAATCAACCCTTCAGACCCGGTAAGACACGGATATAAATATTTTTTTCTCATTGCACTTTACCCACGTCCTTCTGGCACGTGACCAGAAGACTATATCTCAAAATATACAGTCACGGGGGAAAATCCATGGAGGGGCTTCCGTTTTAATCAATCAACTCGATCGGATTGAGGAAATCGCTCGTGCTATTACTTCCCCGGCTCCTAAATCAAAATCCATTTCCCCCCCCAAGGAATACTCGATTGTCCCGATAGATTCGCATTACTGATCCATAAATTTGTACTTGAAACGATGACACAAGGGATTTCATTACACCACAAAAATCCTCGAGATAAAATACAACAACTACCTAAAAAAACCAGCAATTAACGTTCCAATAAAAAATCTCATCCAACGATTACATTATAATTACAATTTTATCATTATAATTAAAATTAATAACTTCCTGGAATTAAATAGAGAATAAAATTCTCTGATCAATAATTTATCCAATCATTTATTCAATTATCATTTTAACACATAAATAAATTTGTATCGGCATGTTATAAACAGACATTTTTTAAATAAATCGTGAAACTATTTACGGAATTATTATTTATGCAATCAAATTATCAAATTAATTTTTTTAGTGTGCTCGAGTGATTGATTGGACATTGGACTACTCAATTATTATTTATAATACTTAATTATTATTTACCCAATTAATATGTAATACCCGTAATAATTTAATTATTTTACCGTACGAAATTGTGGGGATTACAAGGAACGCCCTGAATTCATTTCGACTGGGAAATCAGGGAAAAATAAAAATCCCTCGATTTCGAGTCACACGATTGATTTTCGGATGTGATGTGGAATATTCGGGGGGAGGTAATGCATTAGTACTTACACCATCGGCAATTGGACACGCCCAAGCATCACAAATCCAAATTTATCTATTTACAAGATTCGTATTGGCGTTTGGTTCCTCGAGTGTCCGATCCCCTCGGCATGAATTTTTAATCGTCTGGAATAAATTTGCGGTACCGATGAGAGATGGAATCGATGAATAGCCCAATGATAAATCGGTGAGGAATATTTTCTCTCCGTACATTTGTCGATTTTACCTTTCATCCAAGTGTCTTTTAACGTTTTCATTCATCATTCCCCTTTCTTTTCATAACACGAGGGAGAGGATGAGGAAAAATGACAATTGTGTTTTCACTTCTCCGATTTGTTTTTCTTATTTTTTAATGGACTCACTTCGGGATACAATGGACTGGTTCATGTTTTTATAGCTGAGAGCCATTTTTTAACTCATCGTCTGCTGGTTCTCACGGTATTTATCATCATTTCAATATAATTTATTTATAGAAATTATAAATTTAAAATTAGAAATAAAATAGAAGATTAATTCTGGAATGGAAGATTTGATGGAAATTGATTGATTTGATTGTTTATTTTTTTATTTTTAATAGAAATTAATAAATAAATAAATAAATAATAGATCGATTCTGGTGGAAATTTTGGAATTTTTGATGAACAATTTCAGTGTAAAATGCGTTTTCATTCAATTTATTAACATTTTAAGAAAAAAATTGAGTTGTTAAGAACTTTATTCTCGGAAAAAAATTTTCCATTGCAAATAACGAAAATTATTCCATAACAATTACTCAATTGTTTGTGCGTGACTTCATTTCCTGTCATGCAATGCAATAATTTCACTACAATAATTTGCCTTATGACCCAAGGCCTCAGCAATTTATTGTCGATAAATAAAAAGTCGAAGAGCAATAACTAATTATTCCGGAAGTAAAAGTTGACACGAATATACAATAATAAATGGAGTTTATCATATTTCGCGTGTCGCTCGGGTATATAAAGCAGAAAAATTCTCATGTGAATTCACAAACAATTCTTGAATTTTTCACTGTTTTGCAAATAAAAAAATTGTCAGAATGATTGCTGCAAAAATTGTGATAATGGCGCTGGTCATGGTCCTCGGCTCTCGCGAGATCGAGTTCCTCAGGACAGTATAATAATAATCTGGTGAGAACAAATACTAAAAAAAAATTACGCCTACCAAAAAATTGATTTGATATATTTTTCATTAAAAAATGGTTTCAAACGGTTTTTTAAACAACAATATCCATTCCACAATATCCTTTATTAATAATAAATTACGAATTAGAAGAACGGTTATATAAAAGTAATTATTCTGTCTTTCATTATCTAGACTATTTATTATTATTATTTTATTAATTATTGATTCAATCGGGCGAGGAAAGATTTTTCATCGATATATCGCGATTATAATGTAAATAGAATTTATTATTAATTAGATCTATATTAAATCTATGTTTTTCCGTTAATCTCCGTTTGTTTTTTGCAATATTTTTCATGTTTTAAACAAAGTATTGTTTTTTTAAGGTGGATACCAGGGAATGCCCTCACACTATCGGAATCTCCAAATTTATTTTCCAATTATGCATATAACAAAGATTTTCCTGATGCACCATTTCGATAGTATGTTATTTCCAAAAAGCATGTACTTCACTTATTTATTTCAAATAAATATTCAGCACTAGAAATTGTGATTTTACATTTCTCCATATTTTACTAATATTTTCTTACACCAAATTGCGTGGGCTGTTATTAAATTAAATTAATGTAACTCATATTGTTTAAAAGTATTTTCTTAAAATAAAATTAACAGAAATAATTATGTTTTCGTAAAAACTCTCACTTTTATTTTTTCTAAAATTAAGTCTGAAAAACATTAATGTCAAAAAAATTAATAAATAAACTAAGAAGTTTTTAAATAAAATGGCATGAAATTTCGAGTCTAAACTTTTATATGAATTCAGTATTTTATTTCTATTTTTATTTATATTACAAACTAATGGTTTTATTTTTTAACATTCATTATTATTATCATATTTATGTGCGAGACGAGATAATCTCCAGAAAAAAAATTCTGCTCAGTAATTATCGCGATAACTCAAGTGTCAATTAAAATAAAAAATCATGAAAAAATCGTTAACGTCGTATAATAATAAAAAGTGCAATAAAATGGAGGCGAGTGTTTTTGTAGGAATAGCGATGATCAATACGTATTGAGGAAGACTATTGGAGAGTGGCTGTGACCAATGGCGTTCGTACGATTCACTCCTCAGTCTGATAAGGGGAAATTCCCTCGCTGATTCTGCGCCCAATGGGTCCGGCAATTTCATTGGTAGTTACTGCTATGAGAGGGTGGACCTCTGCAACCCTCTCGAGTGGGTGGAAAACCGCGATGGCCGCCCTTCCTCCCAAATATCTAATGAAAGTCGTTGGAAAAATTGGGGAGATAAAAAATTCCACAAAATTTATTTCATTGTTATAGACGTGGAGATTGTGTGGAAATTCTCGGAAAATTTATTGCTATTGCAAATTGCTAGGGGGAGGAGTTTCCGCGAATTTACGATTTTTTCGCGATTAATCTAGCACTTGAGAGGGCGAGGCATTTATTTAGACGATTTTTTTCTTAGAATCTTGTGGATTTTATTATTTGTTTATTCATTCATGGGAGGATCTATGAATAAATTATTTATTTATGATTTATTCGGGGGTTTTTCAAGGAATTAATTAATTGATGATAGGGATTTTTGAAGAAATTCCCAAAATTTTATTTTTATAGCACCAGAATAAAAGCGGTTTAATTGGTACATGAGTTTTCGAGAAATATCTGTGAATTGAAGGGAGATACCGGAAATTTTGTTATTACCTGTTTTGTAGGTGTTATTCTGCGCTATAAAAAAGGTCTTACGACAAATTGTGTTATCTCTCTTAGATTTCGAGATATTCGTCGATAACTCGGCTAGGACACCGATAGATCTGATTTATTCAAATTTATTGTTAAACAATTTAATCCTGATTTCTCCGAAAAATATCTTTCGATGGAATTCCAGTTTTTGTTTAACATTCCGATATTGGGGATCGGAAATAAAAAAAAAATGAAACTCAACAACTGTGAAATTGGAAGTAAATAGCTAAAAGATGAGATAAATAAACAAAAAATTGATAATTTATAATGTTTTTTTTGATTCTCCGAGTCGTCGAGATCATTCGGATCTCAATGGATAATTGAATGAAGAATAATACAAGAAGCCGACGAGATAAAGTTGGATCTAGCCATAAATTAAGGGCATGTCTACCGGTTGGCCGGAGCAAAAGCGAGTATTTTGTGTGAGGGTGGATTGCAATTGAGATTTATGAGGGGGCATGGATGCGTAACGAGTTCAGTACTCCACACTGTCTCATCCCCAATCAAGGATGAATTGAGTGGAATCACTTTTGGGCTAATGGGCCAATGCTAATTCGAGTTGTCCCTGCTTCTGGGGACATGCATCTTCCTCCAAACATTTATCATCATAAAACTAAACTGTTCATTCGATTTTTTTATTCGCTCCACTTCTCCAAAAATTCCCCAATTCTTTTCAATTACCCACCCCCATGAATCACTCCAATCGCATAAAAATATAAACAATAATTTCCATTAATGAACTTAATGTAAATATTTTTCGTTCGGGTTTAGAGAATTTTGTTAAACAATTGCCCTCTCAATTCTTTTGATCCTCTTTTATTACATCACATTATCTTATACATTTACAATCTTTAATAAACTCTTACAAATGCAATGACATGGAGACAGAAAATTATTGTATCCCATCGTCGTGTAATGCAATATGAATTATTCGTCGAAATTCTCTCATTTCCAACTCCACACTCACAACGATTTGACCACTTACGTACAATCATGAATAGAAAATTCTGAAGATGAAAAAGGAAAAGACAATTCATCCGATGGAGAATATAACAGGGAGAGTATTGAGTCTCTCTACGATAATGTGCCGATCTTCCCTCAAAAAGAAAAAAAAACCAAATGTGCGCATTCAAAACACTGACTACGTAAAACAATCTAGGGGAAACAAAAAAATAACATCTCGTTATTATCATCAATTGATTGGCCAAGTGATTTTTATATTAAATACCAACGATACATGTAAAATTGTTCGTTCATCCCAAAAAAAGAACGCAAATCATTTCCCTACGAAAAAATTGCAAAAACTATAAAAAATCATTCTCGCAGGATGTTTTCCTCCATTTTCTGTCACAAACCGACAAATCACGAGTGAGAAATCCTCGAAAATTTTTTTTTTATATTTTCCATCTTTTCAAAATTACGATAATTACAAATAAACAATTATAGAAAAGGAATGAAAAGGAGTAAACAAACATTCAGGGGTGAATTCAGTGATGAAATGAGACGGAATTTCTCAGATGAAGCAAAATCCATCAAAAGAGTTTTCCTGAGGAGATCAAAAAATTTTCCCCTCAAATTCTGGGTTCACCCTCTCGTTCCTCAGAACCCACAGATTTTCTCTATTTAAATTCCTTCGGATAAGCCCCAGCGACGACAATTGAGCAGAAAAAAGTTAAAAGATAACGAGTGGTCCCCCACTACAGTTTGTTCATCATATCTCCGAACCGAAGACAGATATTGAAATGTTCATTAATACCTTTTTTATAGATTGAAATACGAGCTGCAAAAAAGGTATTACTAAAAATTCCGATATCCCTCCCCGATTGGTAGATAATCCCCGAAGACTCTTGCATCAACCGAATGGACTCGTCAGCTTTTACCGGTTCCCTACAAAATTGAATTCTCCACCAAAAATTTCCATTTCTCCCCAGTGATATTTCCTAATAAAATTTCTTGGCCTGTGCCTCCTTGTTGTCCTTGTAGATGCTGTACCCCAGGAGAATGACCATCTGAATAGCCAGAAAAGCCAAAAACATTGTCGTAGTGAGACAATTGACAGTGGGACAGCCCCCAGGAGTTGCCCCGGACAGTTTAGCGTTCGTCTCCGAGACGTCCCTCTTCACTCGATTGAGGCCATCCCTCATTTCAGCCACGAGGGACTGATAGTCGTAGCCAATCGGCTGAACCTGAGCTGTGGGCTGTCTTGCCTGATTCGACAGGATGGATTCAGCCTTGGAATTCACTTCTCCCACGAATGATTTGATCTCTCTGGCTGTGTTCAGGATAATGTTCTGATTACTGAGGACTGCATCCACCTCCTGGCGACGAATGGTGTCAATCAGCTGAGCAGGTGCTCCTGGCTGACCCCCTGCCACCTGGACACCTCCCAACTGAATTTGAGAGATCAGGGAGAGAGTGCGCTCCTGACGACCCACCATTTCGTCCACCTGCTTATTCAACTCTCGGACAACCTCAAATATCTGTGACTGACCATCGAATATTTGACGCAACTCTCGTTGACCGTCCGTCTCATACCAGCCATCTGAGTCCGGCTTGTGCTCATCAGGATGTTCCCTAAAATAATTAACAATTTATTTCCAATTATTGTCTCAGATTTTTCAAGTGTTTCACAGGTTTTTTTAAATTTTAACTGTCGAATTCGTCAATTAGATTAGATACTCGACAGTAATTTGCGAATATAATTGGTTTTTGTTTTTATAAATAATTAGTCAATTATTGGGATTCAGTAGCTAAAGGTAATCAACTGAAGATAACGAAAGGGAAAGAGTCTGTTCAAATGCGTGAGGGCGCTTTATCGACGAGTGATAAGAGACTCGACTAATGATAAGAACTCACTTTTTGTAATCTTTCTTCTGCTGCTCCAACTTCTCCTGGTACTCTTGGTACTCTCTGCTGAATTTCGCCTCGTCCTCGAGGGAAACTTGACGACCACTAGCTGCCATTTCTCCAGGTGGGTGGAGGGACGTCGTGAGGAAGTGGAGGACATCGTGATCATCAGCTAAACCTCCAGTGGCTGCTGACACACCGAAATATCCACGTTGGGGTAAATGGACGTTGTCAGCACGGAAACACATCTCGTAGTTGTTGTCATTGTTGGTCATTCCGTTGTGGAATAAAACCTGAGGTCAAAAATCTAATTAATGAAAACCCACGACTACTTTATTCACTCCAAAAAAATCTATTTTATATTTTTTGTCTAATTAACAACTAATTCATTAGTTCACTAGAATAAATTCATATTTTCTCGAGAAGAGTTTTTTTTAAATATCTCGAGATGGACGAAAAATATCGATATTTTCGTAATCACTTTTTTTGTAGCCCTCACCTTTTGCTACAAAAAATGTATAACCAGAAATATCGCTACCTCCTTTCATTTGCGAGGTATTCGCTAAAAACTGACGTCGAAAAAATGTATTTATCTCATTTATAATTTTTCAAGAGAATTTAGTCTCATTAGCCTAATCTTTTAAGCTTCAAGTACGATATTGGGAAAAATCCAGAGTAAATCCTTCAGACTTACCGTTAACTTATTTTTATAGTACTCAATCCTAGCTCTCGTTGGAAACGGCTTGTTACGGAAATCTCGAAGACATCCAGTCAGCGATTGTGTAGTTCCATCACTGCAATAAATAATTTCATATCAACTCCAGACGCTAATGATACAGATAAAAAATAATAATCAAGATCTAAAATCCCTCTTATCATCAGAATCTCCTCCATAATTAATCGAACCAATGAAAAATCGATTTAATTCGAATTAACCTGCGAAGAAATAAGGAAAAAAAAATTGAACTCACTTGGCGTGATCGAAAATTTGATCGCCATTATTCAACACAGCCATGATGTACGGGTTATTATGTTTATTATCGTTATCAAATGAATCGAAGAAGAGTCCCAGACCATTCCACATGTCTGAACTCCCGAAGACAGTGCCATTATACTGTCCCTTATTCGCTGTATACCAAAATGCCAGACCATCAGCACCAATTCTTCCTCTACCAGTCACCCTGAACACAAGGTCCACCTCCCACCAATCGAAGTTGGTCATTTCCTTCGTCCATATTGCACCTGAAAGAAATAATTTCATTCAAAAAAAAAATAAAAATACCCGAGCAATTCCACATTATTCTAACAGAGGCAATTTTTTCGTCGACTAAGCAATTGCTTTCTATTTTCATCCTGAAATGAATCACTGATACCCCTGGACTCTTTCATAAAAAAAATCGAAATCTCCCATCAAATTCGTTCCCAAAATTAAAAAATTCAAATTACCCCCACATCCCCTCAAAAAATCATACATACCCTTCTGACTCCTCAACGATGGGGCCACCCTGACGTTCTCGGAGCTGGCGATGGCATCTGCAAGAAAAAATCACTTTAAACCCCGAAAAAAAAACAATTGAAAAACCCACCCCATCCCCCAAAAACCCCCATCCCTCTCCCAGCCTGTCTGTCAAAAAGCCGGAACCATACGGTGTGAAAAACCCATTGAATTTCCCCACATTGTACCCTTCCCTGGAGCCCCAGGTGATCCAAGGGCTTCAAAAAAGTTGATAAAAATATTCTGAATGGAATGATTCCCAGACTGTCACCGAAACGTCAGAAAAAAATAACCGTCTGGATACGTGGAGCTCTTGGTTATGATGGATCCGATGGATCTAACCAAAAACATAACTTACTTCCTCCATATTCCCAAAATGGTACACTCCCGTCCTTCTGCGCTAGATAGGGCGGTTTGAATGAATATTTGTACTCAAATTTTTTATGCACCTCTTCGGCATTCACCCACAATAACAATGGCAAATTGATAAATAACACTAGCCACCTCACTTCGGCGGCCATTTTCATTTTTGTAAGACTTGTTGGTTATTACTGATAACAGCGCATGTGTTATCTATACGCTATTGGATACTCTACTGCAAGATTATGGAAAAATCACTTGATTCGTTCTCCATTTCCATCTGACGTGTCCCCTGTCACCTGTGCCGCCATCTTTATTTTGATATTACGGGGTTTTTTATTATTCGTCGTTTATTCTTGAAATCTGTTTTTAAACATTTTTATTGTCCTCTCTCTCTGGCCTTTTTTTAATTAAAAATTTTGATCTTTTGTATTAATTTTTTTGAGGTTTATGAATTTTTTAGTTGAAAATTCCCAGGGGATTTCCCTCTCGTCGCGGGTTTTGAAGGGGTTTAGTCCACGTGGAATGATCTGCGCAGGCGAAAGTGCGCGTTATGTTTTATCGTTTGAATGGAAAATTATGAAAAAATTATTTTCTATTCATTCGCTTAATTAATTCCGGGAAATGAGAATTATTCCATGAAATCCCAGAGGCTTTATTATAAATTTGAATTCCATGATTTTAAGTTGATTTTATAAAGATTTATTTAACAAATAAACATAAATTTTTATTGGCAGGTGCTAAAATTTTTTCATGAAGCTAAATCACTTGATTTTTTAATAATTTATTAAATCAAATCTACAAACTTCAAATTAATTAATTAATTGGATGTTCATCAATCTCACTAAATAAAATTTATATACATTATTCATTTAATTAATTTTTCCCGACACTAAAAACTTTGAAATTAATTTCCACCAATTCGAATTAGAATACAAAAATCCAGAAAAATTGAATTATAATTATTATAGTCTTATAATTATTTGCTCCGATTTTCCATGGATTATTCCACAATTTTTGTATTTAAAATATTTCCCGCCACCAGCATAAGAGTGAACATCCGCACGTAACATATCTGTTGCCAATATTCACTGGGAATTCTCCTGAATCTGTACTTGTGTGATTCACCATTCCGCTCCCATTATCACTCGCTATTTATTCCACAACCAATTAATCTAAAACGTCAGAAGTCATTACCCCACTTCATAAAACAGCTGCAAGCATGGACCACTGAGTGAGTTATTCCTTTTTCCTACGAGTCATCGACTCCAAACCCAACAATTTTATTACAACTGGAAACACCTCGACAACTGTCAAATCTCGACTCTAAATTTATCATCCACTCATTCCCCATTTAATCCATTATTTCAACTTCAATTACAATTTTGAGGTTGAGGATAAATCCAACAAAACGCTGAACACATCATAATGATAACGTAATTTCTCCTAATCCACTGATAAAAATAACGAATCGTTTTGTTCCTATTGTTTGTTTATTTCAACACTGAGGAATGTGTGTCTGTTGTCTTTATCCCTGACGCTCTTTGTTCTGACTGATAATCTCTCATTATCAGTAATTATCGAAGACATCAACACTGATTTATAATTCTCTCCGCAGTTTTCATTTCGTTGGAGTAATCTACAATGGCTTGGACTAACTACCAGAAGCTCCTGGCCCTGTTGATGGTTGTCACTGGGTCCTTCAACACTCTCTCAGTCAAGTGAGGATTTATTATCCATTTTTTAAATTTATTCATTAAAAAATTCACTTGACAAACCGGCGATTTCGTTAGAATATTCTATTGCGTTCCAATCGATTCAGTGAATTTACACGTTTTTTTGTCGATCCTGCTGAAATGTTTAATTGAAAATGTGAAAATAGTATTCGATTTTTATATATTTAATTTTCTTCTGAAAATTCCGCCTCTTGTAGACAATTACGTTTAACTATGAAGACTTTCGAATTTTAAATTAACCCTGAGCTGCAAAGTTATGAAATTGAGATATTTAATTTATTTTTATCGTAGATACGCAGATTATCAAATAGTTGCCGGCAAAGATGGACAACCTAGGCACTTTAATCATCCATTCATGCAGTCTTCCTTCATGTTCCTGGGGGAAATGCTGTGCTTCTTGACGTTTAAGATTGCTTACATCTACTACAAAAGGAAAAATGTGAGAAATACGAGAAAAATCCCCCAAAATCCCCACAAGTCAAACTATATTAAAACCTAGAAAAAAATCTCTATCAAATGAGCACCAAAAAAACGTCAAGTCCACTTAATCACTCCTCAACATTTCGAGAGATATCTCTGAATCCAGAAGAGATACCACAACATTTTCAGTAATCTCTTTTATCGAATCAATTAAGAGCTACAAAAATGTATCAATGAAATATTTCGCTATCAATCTTCCATCCAGAGATATTCGATATTTTACAGATTAGCTAAATCGACCCTTCACCTCTGCGACTGTAATTATCTCTAAAGTTATTTATCAAGCCCGAAATTAATTCGATAGATCAATTCACTGATGATAAAATTGATAATCAATATTTCTGAATGAATTCTCGTCAGGACGACTCGGTTGAGTCGAGTCCACTCACGAAAGGCAACAGGAACTTCAATCCATTCATCCTCCTGATCCCCGCAGCCTGCGATATGATCGCAACCTCGATAATGTACGTGGGATTGAATCTGACATACGCCAGCAGCTTCCAGATGCTCAGAGGATCAGTAATCGTATTCACTGGGTTCTTGTCGATGGGTTTTTTGAATAGAAAATTAGGAGGAAGGGAATGGACTGGTATTGCATTAGTTATCACAGGATTGGCACTCGTGGGAGTCAGCGATCTCTTGATGAATGATAAAAACTCCGGCAGCATGAACTCCATTCTCACTGGGGATTTACTAATTATTTGTGCACAGGTGAAATGTTTTTTTCTTCTTCAAAAATTCAACATAAAAATATTTATCGAATTTACCACACGATTGATGATTTTAAATGGATTGAGTCATTTATTTAACTCAATATTTTTACCTCCGATGATTTAATCTGATCATTAAATTCTAATTAAAGGTGATAACCTCAGTGCAAATGGTGGTAGAGGAGAAATTCGTGGCTGGACTGGACATTCCACCTCTACAGGCTGTCGGTTGGGAGGGAATTTTCGGTTTCATTGGCATTTGCCTGGCGATGATTCCTCTTAATTACATCCACGCGTATCCCCCGTTTGCTGATAACTCCCAGGGGACTTTGGAAGCGCCCATCGATGCTTTCATACAGATAGGGAACAGTGGGAGATTGCTCATGGCTATTATTGGTGAGATACTCCCACGATTTGATAATTCATTAATAAAAAATTCTAATTAGTTTTATTGCATTGTCATGAAAGCTCGAGGGATTCCTCGAATTTCTACGTAAAAATTCTTATGATGATTTTTTATTTAGGTATCACTTTAAGTATTGCATTTTTCAATTTTGCTGGAATCAGCGTGACGAAAGAGATGAGTGCAACAACGAGAATGATACTTGATAGTGTGAGGACTATCGTCATTTGGGGATTCTCTCTCATATTTCAGTGGCAAGCGTTTCATTATCTTCAGGTGAGAGAAAACGACAGTTGCAAGATTTTTATTTGAATTCCATCTGGATAAGTTATTATGAAAATATGAGAAAGTCTTTCTGGATTTTTCTCGAGTAGCAGAATTAATTGGCGAATTTTTGAATACTTCCAGTTGATTGGCTTCACAGTTCTCCTGATAGGAATGGGCTCTTACAATAATGTGGTGGTTCCCCAGCTGTGTA